AACCTCAGTACTACCGTGATTTATGTGATTTTTGTGTGTATAATACATTTGTTTCTGGCATGAAAGTATATTTAATAAATGTTCGGTTGTCTTGTCTATCTCATTAGCTCACAATCAATCTTTATACTGTTGAATTGTACTCTTTTCCCCTGAACAAAGGAACGGAAAGAGCAGGGGTCAGAATGAAATGGGGCTCCATTCTTTATCTGGTACCTCATCTCATCCAAGTCCCCAACCAGGGAGAAGAAGCAACTGTTCTCTTCATCACTTAAAGAGCGGGCTCCACTGATGGTGACTTAGCTCCAAAACCAAGGCTGGGGGAAGGGCACATGCAGCAACCAGGGCAGTATCACCTGTAGGAAGGCGAAAACAGCTCACTGGAAGGCTCGGGGAGTGAGCCTGATTTAATTTCAATCGATAAAAGAATACCACAGTCTATAAATACTAGCATGCAATTAATTTGCTCTTTCTTGACGTCTAGCAATTTTCCACAGCCCACATGTAACATTATCATGAACCAGTGAAAGGAAGACTCTACACACAGGGAAAATCAACGCCACAGGCAGGCTGAAATCCAGGCTGGAGGAAAGGATGAGAAAGGGCATAGTTAAGAAGAGGGGAAAGGCTGGGAAAAAGACATCATCACAAGGACTCTGAAGCATCATCCAACAATCATATAATCACTTATTCAAGAGAGAGTTACTGAGGTCCTATTTTGTGCAAGACTTTACAGAGAGCAAAGCAAGTGCGCAGCATCCATTGTGGCAGCAAGTGGCGGGGCTCAAATGCACTTCTGATCCCGGTACCTTGCACACTTTTCCTCAGTATAAAGGCAAAGAAAATAAAGTAAAATAATACTCTGTAAATTCAACGCATTGTTGAAAAAAATTAAAGAAGACCTAAATACCTGCACAGACACACAATGCAGATGCCTGGATCAGAAGCCAGTGCTCTTGGAATGGCAGTGCTCCCCAGAGCGATCAGTATATTTAACGTGGTCTCGTTCACAATCCCAGCGGGCTCCTCTGCAGAAACTGACTAGCTGCTGCTACAATTCATATGGGAACTCGAGGTTCTCAATAACCAAAATGCACTTGAAAAAAAAGAACAAGATGAGAGGACTTGTAATTCTCAATTTCAAACATTACAACTGTATCTCCAGGTGAGATTAGAGGCCATTTTTAAGGTATTATTGGGTTTATCCTTATTTTCTAAATTCTCTACAATGAATATAACTGTTACAACAAGAAAAATAAAAAGTAAGGTATCTATTAAAACATGCACACCAATTCATTCATTGGGAAAAAATATTTTAACTATAAAGAGGTAAACAAATATCTAGTGAAAAATGACTACTTAAAATCAAGAGTGCATTTACATTTTTCATAAATTGAAAACTGAAAAGCACAAACACAAGTTTCTAGGGAGACCGATGCAACATAATAATAGTTATTTTCAAAATTCTAATTGAACAGTGAAAACTCAAGAAAGGGAAAATCGTGATTGACAGCCAACTGCAAACACATGGAGAGCAAAGGCTTAGAAATCACTGTTCCTTTATCTCTGCTACTAACTCAATTGGAGAGGAAATTCCTCACTGAGGGGACAGTGGAATCCCATGCATAACACAGGATACACAGTACAAACTGCACTAGATACGTGGGTGAGTTTCTTAGAAGAATTCTAAAGTTACAACATTGCTGTAAAAGTATAAAAACACTGACAGACAGATTAAAACAGAAAGTCATATATATTATATAGAAACATATGAAGTCTTCTCCCATGTTTCATAGAAATACAAACATATTTGTTCCTTTATGGGCACTGGTTACTTTATCCCAGATAGAATATTTCAACTAAAAAAAATTAATAATACACTCCTCTTGTCAAATATAGTTGATAAGTTACTCTGCTATGTAACCGTAATGTGTCTAAGATAGATCTAAAATTAGTGAAAAAGATCTTTGTATGGTTTCTTGAACTGTTCTCAAAATTCCAAGCTTAATTTTAAAATAGATCTGAGCAGTATTTCTATATTATCTTTTCCCTTGTGAAATGAACAACACAGTCTGTTGTCAAAATTCTGTCCTTAAAATGATTCACGAGCACCATATCCTAACTGCTGGACAATAAGGCACAATAGGAAAACTATGACCAAATAAATGAAACATAAGGAAGACAGTGACCCTATTCTGGAGGGATTAAATTCTGTGTCATCACTGGGGTTTTTATTTGATTGGTTTGATTGGATAGCAAATTAAAATCAATCAAGTACATTCTTCTTTGAGCATTCTATATGTCATGACTCTGTTTTTAGTGTCATGAGCAGGAAAGACTTAAGCATGACTTGATTACGTCAACTAGCAACAATCATCACTGGAGAGTGACTAATAAAGTAGTTAACTGATAGCAATGCTTCTGCCTACATGAGACGTAAAATAAACCTACACTGATCTCTGCAAGGAAAATGAGGAGATGAGGTCCTCAATGAGAAAAAAACTAACAAGATATCAAAAAAGGAAAGACTTTTTCATTAACGATTCCAGGAAAGAGTGGAGCATGGTGGTGAAGAGCACACATGCTAGGGACAAACATGAGGGTCTGAACTCCCACAGCACTGGGTACCTGTGACACTGATATGTCAGTCAAATTCTCTGCATCTCAGTCTCCGATCCATAGACTGGGGACAACAACAGCACCCGTCTCCTAGAACAGTCCTAAGAATTCAGTTATTTTATATATAAAAGTTTAAATAAAATACCTCAGATTTTAAATACTAACCCAAAAGCACAAGGAACAAACAAAAGAGAGATAAATTGGAATTCATCAAAATTTAAAACTTTGCTTCAAATGATACCATTCAGAAAGTGAAAAAACAACACACAGGAGAAAATTTTTTCAAATCATTTATCTGATTAGGAATTTGTATCTCCAAATAAAAAAAAAACTCCTACAAATCAACAATAAAAATGCAACTCAATTAAAAAGTGAATAAAGTATCTGAAAAGGTATTTTTCAAGGAAAATATACAAATAGCCAATAAGCACAGTGAAACGATGTTCAATATCATTAGCTGTAAGGGAAATCAAGTCAAAACCACTAGGAGAAACCGCTTCACACTCACTGCAATAGGTTATAATCAAAAAAAGAGTAACAAGCACTAATGAGGACACAGAGGAAGTGGAGCTCGCAGCCCTTGCTGGTGAGGACGTAACAGTGTGGCCACTTTGGAAAACAGACTGGCAGGGCCTTAGAGGGTTGAACATTTGGTTTCTGAATGATCTAGCAATTTTGCTCTCTGGGTACACACGTAAGATAACTGAAAACAAATGTCCACATAAAAAATCCTACAGGAATGTTCACGGCCCCATTACTCATCACAGCCAAAAAGCAGAAACAACACAAATGCCTATCACCTGATGAATGGGTAAACAGTGGGGCCCAGCCATACAGTGGAATATTATTCATCAATAGCAAAACATAGAGTACTGACCCAGGTCATAACGTGAACAATCATTGAAAACGTTAGTGTGAAAGAAGTCAGTCAAAATAGACGGTTCAATTTACATGAAATGATTCGACTTACATGAAATGTCCAGCACAGGCAAATCCACAGAGAGAGAAGAGTGGCTCCTTGGGGCTGGGGGAGGATGGGGAAGATGGGAATGACTGCTTATGCATACGGGGCTTCCTGTTGGAAGTATGAAAATGTTCTAAGATTGACTGGGATGCACAATTCTGGCATAGAGTAAATACCGCTGTACATTTTAATGGGTGAATTGTATTAAAACTGTTAAGAACAAAAGCAACTCGGGCCAGTACCTTCCCATAGTAAATTCAAATTGCTAACTTTTATTACAGGAAGAAGAAACTGCCCTCAACATGAAAGCAGAAGATCAGCAAATGTTAGTTAACCGAAGTTGGACAAGAGCATTTCACTTGAAACAGTTGCTCAGTGTACATGAATTATTTAAAAATAGGAAAATCTGCTTGACAGCACAAAGAAGCATTCTGCTTCAAATGCAGATCAAGGATTTGGCATGACCAGCTGCTAAAAATGACCAGAGAAGAAACCTTGTTCTTAAAACAAGCACCAGAGCCAACAAGGAATTGGTGGTGAGGAAAGCAGGCGTGCGAAAATCTGGAACAGTTTGCTACAAATAATTACTCCACTGAAAATTCAAAAATAAAATGAAAGTGATGCAATGCTGTGTTGACCTCACGTGAATGGGCTTCCTTCGGTGCTCCACAGTTCTGTAACCCCGAATGAGAGACTTAAGAGAATCAGCATGGCCCCTGGGAGTCCCCAAGTTACTGCCCACCAGCACGCTGACCACCATCACATCTGCCAGGGTTGAATTGCAGAGAAGAGACCAACTTCTGAAAGGCACAGGAAATGTTGACAAGGGAAGAAAAGGCTGTGGTCTGTCCTGGGACAGAGGCCCTGTGAGCAGAGGCCAGAATGCTGTATGTGAACTGGAGTGGCCCTGGGGCAGGAAGGGACCACGGGGGAGCAGATTTCAATTCTCTTCTCTCTCTCCCTCGGGTAGGAGAGATAAATCCTGCTTCCTTCTCATCTGGAACTGTGGATTCTGGCTGGCAGAAGTCTTACCGACACGGAATGATTACTTAAGACTCTGTGGAAATAGTTAAGATATCAAGAGGGAGTAGGGAGCCAACTCCACGAGCCTCTCAAATGCTCCCATATTTATTGTGTATAGTCGGAAAAAAAGTCATTAACAGTTGTGTGATAGTAAGCAGGAACTTGGGTAAAGATGGGATGAGACAGAGATTGTAGAATCCACAATAAGTACAAAGTCTTAGTGTATCTTTAGGGAAGTCATGGGGTGAGGGGAACAAGACACATTTTTAGATATGTGAAGTACAAAGCAGACCACCAGACCAGCCAGGTCCTTGTTTTGGGGATAATAGACAATCTAACAGCACATAGGCCCGGCGTTTATAGCCAAGGGCCTGGGTCCTTGCTTTGCAATGAGCAGAGTGCTATCTAAAACCTCAACTATGCAAGCAAAGCATTGTCTCTGTTTTTTAAGGCAAGGAGACAGGAGTGAGGATGCATAGGCCCCTGCTCACAAAGCAGTTACTAAGCATATTTTTTCTTCTTAAATTTGACAGGCGGCTGGGGTCTGTTACAATTTGTTAACCCAATCATGGGCTCCCTCATGGAACCATTATGGAGAACACCCTGGGATGACAAATCCTGGCTCTGGGCCTTTTCCTGCCAGCTTCAGCCACTCTAGCAGGTCTAGGCACATCTCTGAATAACGATCCCAGAGAACCACCCACACTCTAACTCCTGGTGCTTGAAACTTAAATTTAGCTCTCCACAACTTAACGTAGAAAAGTTTCAGAAAAAAAGGTACTATATTCGTTTTATATCT